TTTGTTTGTCCCGTATGCGTTCGTAAACCATTCATCCGATTGTGATGAAACTTTGGTGAGTTGTTGTTCACACGCCCGTCAAGGTTTCAATGATTCGTTCGGGTCGCTACAATCGCTACAAGTATGTAGACTAAAGGCCGTAGCTGGATAAGGAGGGGCGATTTGCCTCCGCGCCGATCATGAACATTTTTTTACAGTTTAGTTGCTATCAATGTCAATTTCAATTTTACCAAACATTAGCTCTTAATATTCAACCGTTAAGGTGTGAGAAATAAAAATCAAAATTTTAAAAAAAATTTATATCTATTAAACAGCTTCAATTTTCAATCAATTTTCATAAAAAAAATATATGTTGTAGATGTAGACAAGATACATTTGTAAAAAAATTTCAAAGATTTTTTGAGGTCAGAAACATTACAAAAAAAATAAAATATTTTTATTTATTTTTTTTAGCTATCTTATCGGTCTTGTACCACTACAAAAATTTTGCCGTAAAATTATTAGATGCTATCCTATAACATATAATTTTTTTCAAATTTTTGAAATGAGTACTTGATACTTAAAAAAATTCTTTTCCTGATTTTTTTAAACCATCTTATCGGTCCACTACGAAGAGCTAAAACAATTTTTAACATATAACTTAAGAAATGTATAACTGAACATATACAATACCTTCATTCAATTATGAGCACATTCTCTAAAGATTTTGAAATTAAGTAGCTAGATATTATAGAGTTATAGAGTTTCATTTTGATGTTTCGGATTTTCATTTTATTTATTTTACGACTAAAACTTCATGCAACTAACTTGATACAAAATAAATGAATTTGTTTCTATTGTTACTTTTTATAATAAGAAGTATATTCTTAGAGTACTGACTGTATTTTGTCATTAATTCAGTATTGTTAAAAAGTAAATACTATTTCACGTATAAATATAAATACATTGTGCTTACAATTAGTAAATTCCTCTAAAATACTTTAAATTGAACAAAGTTATATTTCTTTGTTACGTATATGTATAACTTATAATAAGATCGGAAGA